CCTTGGTATTGCATCTTGAACGCCTCGCCATCGCCCACCTCGCACATCTCCACCACAAGACTGTGGACGTTCCGCCCGAGGAACTTGTCCTGGCTGGACTTTTCGGTTTCGGCGCCATGGCAGCCGTTGTTGTCCACGATCTTCTCCCCGTTCAGGTACAAGAGAGATCCTGGAAAGGTCAAATAAATCTTGCAGGCCAGGTGGCATAAACGGCACCAGCTCCCCTAGCTCTGCGCTCCGTCGTCTGAGCTCAAGAAGAACTTGTAGTCTCCCGGTGTTTTCGTCAGCAGGCGACCTGTGCACCTGCACTGCCACAGTGGTTCAGTGACTCTCAGGAAACACTCAGGTGGGCGCTACGTTTCGGTCTGCTGACATGGGTGCAACTTCCATGTCAATTTGGGCCTTTACATGCCTTAGGTAAGAACCTCTTCAGGCCCGGTGCGGGGCTCTCCCGATAAGAAAAGAGAAACTCTCTTCTAGCTGACAGGAGAAAGATGAGAAAGATAGACTGGTTCAAGAGCAGTTCTGCCGCGCAGATCTGGCCGGCAAGGCAGTCACTGAGGTACTTTCTGAACGTCGAATCCAAGGGACACACACACAGGGAACAGAAAGAAACCGACGGGCAAAGAGAACTGTGGGCAGCCGACCACAGCAGCTAAGGCGCGTGGCGATCACGAACGAAGGCAGAAAGGGTCTTGTTGCAATATAGGGGTGTGATCACTGCATACGATGCCCTGCCTGATGCAGAAGTCGTCGTGTTGGCGTAGTCCTGGGAAGCGCCCGTTCTCCTGATCAGAATGCCGAGGCCTTTCAAGTGACCACTTGCAGTCAACGACCAACCCCGTCCATGAAGATCTCCGGCACACTCCCCTTGTGGACAGGTATCCTTGCAGCGGGATCAAGGCATATGCATTGGCAAGTCGCAAATCCACGAGTGCCATCCTGCACAGCATTTTCCAGTCCACAAGCAGCACGAGAACCACGACTGGAGATGAAGGTTGATCTGATTTCTGCCGGGCATCCGGGCTGCGAGATCTGTGATGTGGCACTGCGACTGGCCGTAGAAGTATTCGCACGCCAAGCCATCCTCGAGATCGTCCTGCAGATGTATCCCACAAACTCTCAAGGTGGGGTATGGAACTGACAGGTACCTCGTGACCTGTGCTCACTGAATACCCGTTGCTCTGCCAAGCTGTTCGGGGCAAGGCCTGGCCCTGGAACGTGAAAGTCGTGGTTGTGGTGGTGGATGTCGTTGTCGTCGTGGTCGTAAATGTCTCCTAAACTAGACTTTCTCAACTCGTCAGTTCTGTGCGGACACTGAGGCTCTCACCGTGAAGGTTGAAGTCGTCGTTGTCGTGCTTGTCGTTGTCGAAGTCGATGTTGTCGTGCTTGTCGTTGTCGAAGTCGATGTTGCTGTGCTTGTCGTTGTCGAGGTTGTCGTTGTCGAGGTCGATGTTGTTGTACTTGTCGTTGTCGAGGTTGTCGTTGT